CGGCCGTTTAACGACCAGCCGACGTTCCATTATCGATTATGCTCGGTTATGTGCAAACACTCCCCCGCGATAACGCCGCGTGTCGAATCGGAAACACGGCTAAACACTCGCGATTTCCATGCGTGTGAAGGGGGAGGACGTCGTTCTGGAGGGATTGGAGCGAAGGAACGTTCGATGGGTTTTGGGTAACGAGGTCGAGCCTGATTACTTACGAAGCCGAGGAACTGGGTTAGTCGAAGGACGTCGAGAGGAAATGGTGAACGATTCAGGAAAAAGGGGAATTCCGATCGATTTCGTTCGCTCGAATGAGGATGTGAACGAGAATCGTGAGACTTTTCGCGGTGAAAGTAAAAGTTGTGATGCGATTTCGAAATTTGTTATTACCTTTTTCTTGAATGGATAAATACAGATTTCGATTCAATTAAGGATTCGATTATTCGTTTTATTTGATTTTGGGCTAAAATTTAATTCATTTCGAGGAAATATTTTCATTTAATTTCAATTTTGATACAAAATGGATTTGCGTCCTTGTTTTTCAAAATTTTCAATATTTATTTACATTTCTACAAATCTTTCTAAGTCATTGGATATAATTAACAAATATTTAAACGTTAATTATATAATTATTGTAAAATCAATTTCTTTTTTAAACTAGCTAAACTAATAATAAAAAATCTCTCAAACGTATAATAACAGGAAAAAAAAAAGGTTTACTTGATACGTTTCACGAAAACTTTTTACTTTTCAAAATCTTAAAAAAAAAAAAGAAATAAATATCCTCGTTTGAAGAACACACACATATTCTAACCTTCGAAACAAGTAAACAAATCGATCCTATCGAACCAATAATCTGAATCTCCTCTGAAGAAAATTGATTAAAATTATCGGATATATCACTCACCTCGTGCGCCTGGTCCTCGATACTCCTGAGAACCGCAAGATTCCTTATAGTCGCGCGGCGGGACTCGAACGATGATTCGAGCCTGGTGGCTGCGTTCCCGACCTCCTCCACCAGCCTCCGTGCCCGTTTCACCGACAATCTGGAAAGATAAAAGGGAGGCGTCGTAATCGGTGACGCACCGTTAGGAATTCCCCCTGGTGGCTTGGCTTATCGCCAACGAAACATCGAACGCTAACCAGCGCCGCTCGTCCCTTCGGCACCGCGAGTGGGCGCTAAACACGACACAGACATTATCGTCTTCGTTATAAAACGTCCCTCCCCGTCACACGGTTTCCATGTCCACGTGGAAATATGTAAGCATTCGCGTCCCGACAACCTCTTCTTCCGCTAAGTTCGCCGCTAAGACGAGGCGATGAGAATTCTTGGGGAAGAGACGTCGTTGAAAGGAACGGCGAGAAGTATATATGGTATAAGGAGCTCGACGAGAGGTGAATTAATAGGCGAATATTTCGTGGAGAGATGCGTTGAATAATTAACAATCCGCCGCCTCGAGTCTTGCGGAAATCTAATGATTTTAATTCTTTCGAACTGGGAAATGTACAAATAATTAATGAAAATTGTCATAGTTACGAAGATTGGTTGAAAAGTAATCGTGTAAAAATAATGTATTTGTAATTTTGAAATAGAATGTAAAAGATATTGTGTTAATGTACAAAATTTAATTACTTACTTATGAGTGATATAGTTTTTAAAATAGTAAGTTATTTTATCAGAATGCAATTACGTTTTTTTTCAGTTTCTTTTGTATGTCAAAAAGAAAGGATATTCATTTTAGAATGGAAAAAGCGAAAGGGATAATGAAATTTTGGATTTGGAATAAATTGCAAGAATATTTTAGTGACTTTTGTTTTCCAGGTATATATTTATTACTTTTCAATCAATCCTCGTGTAAATTTTAATTTAACTTTTAAAGGATCTAATGTTTGCATAATAAATTAATAGATATAATAATCACAAAAACACAAAAGTTGATGTACAAAAAAGTTGATTGAAACTTGTTTGTTAAATTATAATTTAAATTTAATTTGTATATCGACTTTCATATTTTTGTTTTCTCTTGAATCGATCCTTCGAAAATATTCCACGAATATATTAACATTCTTGTAAATATGCTATGTATATATCTTACAAAAAATTAGTATTAAAGTTGTAACCACTATAGTCACTTTTCGATTCTTCTAAATATTAAACTTAATGTAAAAAGCAAAATTATGAAATTTTAAAAAAAATCTACGCGTACAAATATTATTAAAATTTATACACGATATATTATGCGAAAAATCAAAGGTTATACAATATATGTATAACTCAAACAAATAAATTTATTATCGTTCTGTTAAATGTACCCCACGTTTCGTCTTTGATCAATACTTCAAAAATCAACAAAGACGGTTCACGATTCTGTTTAGTTAGTTTAAAGACTATTATAAGTCGATTACTTTCTAACCTAATGTAATCGAGATGAATAAGGGGTGCCGCGCGTTCCTCTAGAGAAGCGATCGCTTCCTCAGCATCTCGAGACGTTCTTCTCAATGAAGGATCCGTCAGGAGCCGACCGAGAGGCGTCAACGTGCCGGACAGGGTAGTGCATTCCTTCAGTTCTGACATTTCGAGGGCGAGTCTGCGACCAGCCGATTGCCATTCCGCCATTAATCCATCGTAGTCCTGCAAGACAATATATTGAGTGCAATAGATGTAAAAATGAAAAATATAAAAAGATCGATTAATTTTGATGGAATATTATTAATAATTTTCGAATAATTCGATGATGAATATAAATATAATTGTTTTATTTTCGTCTATTCTTACACACGAATTTGTATTTAATAAGTTACGTTCAATTGTAATGAAATTCTCGTAATATTAAATGGACGTGTTTGGCCTTGCTACGATCATTAAATTTTTAACATAAAAAGAAAATCATTGAAGGATTGAAACGAGAAGATGTGTAATTAAGAAAGATACTTTCAGAATTAGAAAAATTGAAAAGGAAAAATAGCAATACCAATAGCCAATTGACTTATTGTAATAGATATGATCTATGACAAATTTCAGTCCTATAAAATTATTCATGTGCAAATGCATGCTTTTCTCCTAGTATTAGAAATCATTTAATAGCATTCTTCTATATCCAAAGATTATTTACACATACAATATCCGGAAAAAAAAAAAATTCACATTCACTGTGATATGTTTAGTTAGTTGTATTATAATAATACAAGAAACAATGATATAATCAATTTACAAATAGAGAGTTACAGAAGTCAATTAATATAAATCATATTTTCTGAAAATTTCTACTCATAAGTGGCTAAACTACTGAAGTTACTTAATTGATTTGTCAATTGAAAGTTTCATCAATAAAAATATTATTGTACTATGTAAATCATTCTCAGAGAATATATTATGTATTATGTATTATTGATTGGCTTCTGAATCTTTCTTTTATATAATTCTTAAACTATTATATGAACACAATTATACTTGTTTATGAATTAAACATATCACGATATATATTTTTATCAAGATATTAATGATGAATTGAATTATATCAATTTCAATAACGTTAAGATATCAATTAAATTCAATAATCAAATATATTTAAATAAGACAATCTCGGTTTAAATTTGCAACATTGATCATTCATTCATAATTCTGTCATAATTCTTTTTAACTTTTTACACAATTACTCGAGTTTCTCGAATCTTTGTCATTGTTCAAATAACTGTTAAGGTTGAAAAAGTTTAACAGATGATTTATCGTGAAAAACAATTAGAAGAATCGATTAGAATGAAAAATTATTCACTACAACCATTTATTATACCCACAAAACGTTTTAAAATTGATTTTGATTGTTCATATATCCGACATTAAAAAAGATATTGATTCGTAATTAATTATCATGATATATGTAATAAATATCTGTTATTTGGAAATAAAAAAGAAGAAAAAGGAAAATATAATATATACGAGATATTAAATTAATAATCGGTTATCGATCAATGAATATCAATTCTAATCAATCAATGATCAAGTAATAATCTAACAACGAAATAATCAATCAATGACTAATTAATATAATATATTAATAATAATATAATAATATAATATAATAATATAATAATAAAATATAATATAATATAATATATAATATTTCAATATATATATATATATATATATA